GGACGAGGCTGAGGCCTCCTTCGCCCGTGCCCGCAACTTTCGCCCGCTGGCCCGCCTTTCCCCTGGTCGGGGGAATAATCTCACCCGAGGACATCGCCAGGGTCTTGCGCGGGCACTGGGAGAGGGTCTTCACGCGCGGGCCGACTGATGAGGCGCTGCGCCAGCAGTGGCTCTCGGAAGACATCCCTCCGGCAGCCCGCGGCCCGTTGCCCCCGGCGGCTTCGTCTGCCTGGCGGCCCACCTGCGGGGGCGTGCGACGCGCCCTCAAACGCTCTGGGTCCTCTGTCCCGGGGTCCGATGGCATCCCCGCCGCCGCGTGCCGGCGGCTGCGGGAATTGGCGGTCGGCGTGCTCCACCGCGCCCTCCTGTGCCTGATGGCCCCGGAGGGCAATGCGCGGATGAGACCCGCGGCGCGTTTTGCTATCCGCAGAACGTGAGGCCGATTAACGTCGCGAGCTTCGATGGCAGGATCCTCTCGCAGGCGGTGCGGCTGCGGGTCGAACCTCTCTTTGAGAACTGGGTCTCTCGTTTCTGGCGTGAGTTTATTGGCGGCCGTTCGCTGCTGGCCAACGTGCTGGACATTAAAAGGCGGATGATGGAGGTCTCGCTCCGGTCTGCGCGGGGGGCGAGCTTCTTCGATTTCAAGTCTGCCGTCCCATCGCTCGATCAGGGCTTCGTCCTCGACTTGCTCACCCACCTCGGGCCTCGGGTTTCTGGACTTCCTCGTCAGGTTCGTGGACCTGCTGCCGCGGCGACTCGCGCGCCTTTCCTCGTCGGCCAGGCCCGGGCCTACGCGGACGACCTGGCGTTGGTGGCTGGCGATATGCTGGCCGACGCCCCGCGGCTGGAGACGCTGTTCGAGGAGTGCTCGCGTCTCTCCGGGCTGCGCCCCTATTTGGGAAAGTCTGTGAGAGCCCGTTTCTTTATTGCTTAGGGCATGACGGGCGTCGTGGCCCCCGGCCCTTCCCCCCCCCCCCTATGACGTAACGCTCCCCCCTCCAGTGCGCTCCGGGCACTGCCCCCCGGTGCGTTCCGAGCACTGCCGCTGTGCGCATTGGGATCCGCGTAGGTGTCCGCGTAAGAATCCGCGCAGGAGTCTGGTACGCAGTCGTCGTCGTCGTCGTCGTCGTCGCCGTCGTCGTCGTCGTCGTCGTCGTCGTCGTCGCTCGTGGCTTGTCGCTCGTAATCGTTGTGCGCGCGGGCGCGGCTGAAGCCTGGTTTTTATTCCGGACCGATGACGGCAATCATCTAGGGGTTGGATGGAGGGGGTCGATGACGTCACGTTTCGCGCCAGCGGCGTTTGGGAATGCCCAGGAATGACGGAGGACGGGTAACGCCAGCATGTAGGTGGCGATTGCACCACAACGCCTGTGTACACCACAGCGCCTGCGTGCACCACAGCGCCTGTGTACATCACCGCCTATGTACACCACAGCTCTTGCGCACACGACAGCGCTTGCGTTCACCACATCAGCCGTGTGCAACACAGCACCTGCATACACCACAATGCCCGCGTGCATTGCAGCTCGTGTGTGCACCACGGCGCCTGTGTGCACCACAGCAACCGTGTGCAACACAACACCATTGTTGTACATAGAATGTGATAGCGAATCTTTATGACAAAATGGAACGCTTGTGGGTTCCACTGAACACAATATATTACATCAGTCTCATGGACAACGGAGCGCCGCTGGAATCTACGTGTCTTCCCGAATCCGCCCGCATCACCGTAACTCCTCCCTTTGCGCCCAGGAGGTTCCGGCCAGCTAAATTGGCCGTCCGATTCAATTGACCATTCTGCGGTGCGCGGTGAGATGCGCACGTGCGCTGTAGCGCCAAAAGCGCACGACAGGGGGAAGGAGGAGGACGAGGAAGAGGAGGACGAGGAGGAGGAGGAGGAGGAGGAGGAGGAGGAGGAGGAGGTGGAGGTGGAGGTGGAGGAGGACGGGGGAGGAGGGAAAAACGTCGCATTTGATTATTCGTAATTTCCTGGTGTGGATTCTAATTTTCCGCAGCAGAGCCTCACGTACATGCTCCTTCTACCTGTCCTATGCACGCAGACATTGTGGTGTACACCAGCGCTGCGTTGCACGCGGATGCTGTGGTGTAGACACGCGCTGTGGAATGCACAGGCGCTGCGGTGCACGCAAGCAATGTGGTGTACACAGGCGCTGTGCTGCACATGGTAGCTGCGGTGTGCAATTGTACGCCAGCGCTGCTAGTGTACGCAAGCATTGTGGTGTACACAGTCGCTGCGTTGCACACGGTTGTTGCGGTGTACGCAGGCGCTGTGGTATACACGCGCGCTATGGTGCACGCGAGCGTTGTGTCGTCGCCGTCGTCGTCGTCGTCGTCGTGATCGTCGTCGTCGTGGTCGTCGTCGTCGTCGTCGTCGTCGTCGTCGTCGTCGTCGTCGTCGCCCGTCGCTCGTCGCATCGCGCGCGCAGGCGCGGCTGCGGTGCCGGAGCCACCCGGCGTGGGGGGCGTTAAGTCATGCCCCCCTTCGCCGCCCCCCACCCCATGACGCCCGTCATCGCCGAACAAAAAAAAACGCGCTCGAATCGCCCCATTGTCTCCAGAGGGGGCTTGAAGACTCGCTCCCGGCCATTGCCCAAGTCGCGACCGCATGGGCCGCCATGCGGATCGCTACTGACACGGAGTACCTCGGATTCGTGCTGGGCCCGACGAGCGGCCGCAAGTCGTGGTTCAAACCGCTCCAGAAGAAACTCGACAGGGCTCGGGCCTGGAGCAGAGTGGGCGGGTGAATGCAGGTGTCGTTCCTGGCGGCCCGGGTGTGCATCACTTCCACCGCTGGTTTCGTGGCCCAGCTCCTGCCCCCTCCCCCGGGTTGGGAGTCTGCGGACCGACTGATCATGGCGCTCCTCTTCCCTGGCCCACGGGGGTGGCTCTCCCCTGCACGTTTGCTGGATCCTTCGCGCTTCGGGATGGTCGGTGGTTTGGGCGATCTTGAACAGCTCTCTCCCTGGCAACGCGTGCTCGCGCATGCCGTTGCGAGGCCCGCGAGGAGGGGGGATTGCAGATAGAGGCCCGACGCCATCTCGCAGACCGAGCGGCTGGGCCGCCTCGCCGTCTGGGCTCCGTGGTACGACAATGCCCTGTGGTGCCACGTTTGGGCGGACAACGCCTTCTTCGTCCAGAGTGCTTTCCCAGCGGAGGTCGTCCAGGGCCGGATCCTCCAGCACGTGGGTGCGACGGAGCTCGCACAAGCGGAGCTGCAGGACGGGTGCCGCAAGCGTTGGCAAGGGGCCCTTCGGGATTTCTTTCGACCCGCTGCCGACGATCATGCCATCATGCCCTCCGCTTCCTCCGGCGGCGATTGGACAGATGGTGCATCCGTGTCTTGCTTGGCCACCGGTTGCAGCGAGCCCTGAACGTGTTCAAGCAGTTAGCTGGGAAGGTGCCCGCCCGGGTCCTGGCGGCCCTCCTCCGCGCGTTGTGCAACGGCTGGTGCACGTCGCGCCGCTTCCGGCGCCCGGCCTCATGCGTGTTCGGCTGCGGCGGGCTGGGTTCCATCGAGCATTGTGCGCGCTGTCCGGCCGTGGGCCGGTTCGCCCGCGTTCGGCTGGCCCTCCCGCAGCACGAAGATCCTGTGGCTGAGTTCCGGATGCCCTCCGGCCTTCCGGTGCTTGCGCAACAGAGGGCGACGTCCTGATCAGGGCGATGTGAGTACAGCAGCCGCCTACAAGCTGCATTGCAGGTTCCGCCGTTCCAATGAGGCCGCCGTCGCGTCGCCAGACGCGCTCGCGCAGGTGGTTCGCGAAATGGTCCGCAGCCGCCCGCGCGCTGCTGCTCTTGGCACTGCGGCGTTGTGCCTGCGTCGCTTGAGTTCTCATGTTTTCCGTGTGGGGCGCGGTATTCGGCCAGGTCGCTGGCCTAGTCCCATGTTGTGCCAGATTTTGTGCGGCAGTTTTGGCCATTGGGGTTTTTCCCGCAACATGTTGATTTCTCCCCTCAAGTCGAGGGTCAGTGCGCGGATTCACCTATCGCAGGTTGGCTAGCGCGCGGGCCTGGGTTTGCTTGGCGACCTCGAGATTATTTGGTGTCGTGTCTCCTCTTCCTCCGTTCTTCTTCCGTTATTCCTCCTCCTCCTCCTCCCTCTCCTCGTCCTCCTCCTCCTCCTCCCCCCTCCCGCGGTTGCGTCTTTTGAGCCAGACTGGGGGAAATCTGGTTCGCAGCCTAATAATAATACAAGCCAGGGCGTGTATTTCCGTTCCATTCCTCTTCTTCCGCCTCTTCCTTTCCTTGTCGTTTCTCCTCCTTCCTCTTCCCCAGGTTGTGGTGACATTTTCCCGGCGGGCCTCCTCAGTGCACGGCCGTTGAGCGGGGCAGTCCAGAGCTCCCCCTTCTTTGTTCTGGTAAGCCTTTGGTCCGGACCTCCCGCCCCAGGGCCCCGAACGGCAACCGAATGGTCCAGACCTCCCGCTTTAGTTCCCCGGCAAAAATATTTTCACTAAGAAGAAGATATGTAATACACGCAATCATGCGAATGATACACAATATTATTCGAACCAGAAAACGAATCATAATACAATGAGTAATGCCAAGACCAGGTCCCCGGGCAACGGTGTGGTTGGCAGGGCCCTGGGTTCGCGTCTGCGGCGGCGGCGGCGGCGCTCGGCCGTGCCGGCGGCGGCGCGTCTGCCCTCGAGTGCAAAGGCCACAGCTGGCAGCTTAAGCTATCAGATGTCCGTGGGATTGCCCATCATTTTGTCTTTGGCCAGGGGCCCAAATTGCTTTGGCCCCCGCGGGCCCATGTCGCTACACTCCCGCGCGTGCCGATATTGCTACAATCCCCCGCGGGCCGAAATTGCTACAATCCTCCACGGGCCGAGTGTGCTGCAGCCCCCTATGCTCTTGGGGGGGGGTGCGCCCGTGGGGTCGCTGAAAACAGAAATTTCCTTATGCGCGGCCTGCGGGCCCGCGCGGGCCCGTGCGGGCCCGCTCGCGCGGGCCCCGTTCTCGCGCAAGCCGTGCACGAGGAAATCTTCGACTTTCCTGGGCCGCAGCTGTTCTTCGACATGGTTGCCAGCGGGCGCAAGCGGGCCCTCGGCGCGCCAGCGGCCGGGCCAGTGCATAAGCGGCTGAGGACAGGCCTGTTGGCGATCACAGCCGGCCACCAGGCGCGCCGAGGATTGGTCCCGCCCTTGATCCCTGAGGAGATGGAGCCCGGTGCCGTGGTCAAGCACGCGCTGGGACTGCAGCGCCCGTTCGGCCTTGACGCCCCCCTAGCGGACGATCTGTTCGGAGCGGTGGACATCCTGCGGAGGGGCTCAGAGGCGGCGTCGCGCAGTCGATCGGAGGCCCGGAGCAAATGGCAGGCGCGCGCGGAGGCGCTGAAATCCGAAAGCCTAGAACAGATCGCGGAGATGCCTGACCCATGGATCCGACGGCTGTTCCTGAATAGCCGCGTCAAGCCGAAGGGCGAGTACGAGCTCGGCGAGTTCGTCCACCTGGCCCTCTTCCGCGAGATGCACCTGGCCGCGGGCGGCGTCGACGCGCAGTGCCACGACGAGTTTTGGCAGGGTTTGCCAATTGTGGGGCGGGTCCGCCCTTCACGCAGGTGGCCGCCGTTGGGGGGCGAGGGGCAGCCGGCTCGCGACCTTGCAACGCTGGCAGCCAGGGCCTGGGAAGTCAGAGTAAATATGCTCCCCTCCGCCTCATATTCAATTAGAACTTAACTTAGTTTGCATGCATTGCGCTGTCCGCTGGAACTGACAGCTGCGTTCCGCAGCTGTATGACTGCTCGAGCCAGCCGACTTCGGCTGGCAGGAGAGAAAAGGAGTGCGCTGGGGCGCGCGGGCGGTTCGTCGTCGCCCGTCCTCGGCCGACCTCCTCCCTTCGTATTCCTGATAGAGTAGTCTTGCTTAGCGGATGCTTGTCTTATCAATGTCTCATCCCGCCTCCTCTCCCCCTGAGCAGAGTGAACATGAGATCTTAATTCCTTTGTCATATTACCCCGATTCTCTGAGGAAAGACGGGTTATCAGCCGAAACGCGCGACTCGGTCGACGCGGGGCCATTAGATACAAAAGAGGATATTTCAGCTGGGCCCCGCGACTCAGTCGCTGCGGGAAAGAGCTATGATAAGACTGATATCGTGTCCAATATCTCGAGAAGCGCCGATAGGCGAGTTGTACAACATGATGGACACGACGCAGACAGAGACGGTCCTGTTCAGGACCGAATCCCTCCATCATACATCGCCACTCGGGCAGTGAGGGGAAGAAGTGCCGAGGGGATAACCGAAATGTCGGTAGACGTATCCCCCGCGGGAGCTCCGATAGGGAATCGTGAGCAAACCCGGGGCCCGCACGGGCGAGATGGCGTCGCATCAAGACCCGGGCAAAATGCGTTTTCGTCATGGAGTGCCAAATCGACGGAGTCAGTCAGCTCAATTCCGAATGCTCCACACGCTACTGCCATGGCCGCTGGTGAAGCCGGCCGGTCAGGGGAAGTCCAAGGGGATATGAATGCGTATCCTGATATCCGGACCGAATGGGCGGGCGCGGGTGTCAACGCCCCAATCCCGATAGCACTTGGCGGACAATTCGGTCAGGACAGTGATGGCCCACTTGAAAAAGATCACGACATTTATTCCATGGAGGAAGATTTTGATAGCATCAACAATGATATCTCCCTGAGCCGAGCGTTGTCCGTGATGATGGAAGAAGACATCCCTGCTCGAGACGAAAGATGGTCTCCAGATGGATCCGACGAAGACGCCGGTATCTTGGCGCCTCAGGCGGACAGGGCGGAGGCTCAGACGAAGCATGAGAGGGGGTCCACGGGGCGAACCCCCGCGCCTCACCTCAAGGAGCAACGGAATGAGGACTACGAGCTAAACGTCTCACCACTGAAGGAAGGCTTTTTTCCGTAATGCCACCACCTCAGGTGAGTGGCAACCTTCGATTCCAGCTGTTGTTGAGGATGAAGAAATGGTCGGGCAACCGGCTACGCATGCTCAGCTAATAACACGAGACGAAAAGGATGTAGAGTTCTTAAATGCGCCCAAACCACCAGAAAGTACCTTCGTTCGCCCCAGATCAAATGCTTCAAGCAGGGGGAGACCCAAGATGCCAAGATCAGGGTCGAGATCTACTTCAAGGAGCACTAGTGCGGTTTCTATGATGGAGGCATGTTGGGGCCCCAACCCTGACTGCGCGCCTCAGGCGGAGAGCAGACGCCCAGGCAAAGCCAACAGGCCAGAAGGCGCATGTAGGAACCCAGCGCGCAAGAATTGCCCGGGCGTTTGCAACAAGTGTAACGTGCAATGGCTGCGCGCGGAGTGTTGCCCAATGGGCGAGCATAACTGCACGCGTCTCTTGGCGCGGTCTATTCAGGGCCAGGCCAGGCTAGCGGAGGCTAACGCTCAGAGAGAGTTTCTGACCAATGAAGCGCAGCTGGCCGAAAGGGCTCGATTGGACAGAGAAGAATTAACTGAAACTGTGGTCGAGGCCAGAAAAACGTTCGAGGCTGAGCGGATCGCCCTGGCCATGGCTGCTAGAGAGCGTGAACAGGCGCTGATAGAACATCTGCATAATCAGACCGAGGCCGTTAAATGGCAAGTGGAGCGGGAAGCCGAACATAAATACAGGGAATTATTGACTTCGGAGAGACAGGCCGTCATGATGGCGAATAAAGAATCTGCTGACGCCAACGCGGTCGCCGCTGCCGTCGCGGTGGCCAGGATAGAAGGATAACAAGTCGCGACAGTCATGGCGGAACGAGAAAAACAGGGCTTACAAGAAGAGCTCAAAACCGCCAGGCTGGAAGCAGCCAACACCCAAGCCGTAGCTGCGAAGGTAACCAACCAGAACAATCTCTATCTGGAAGAGCTTGAATCGCATGAGGAAGCTAGATCATCTCTCCAGCGCATAACGTCGGGCAATGCTAAATGCCTGCCGGCTAAGCCGACTGGATCGAACATACGCCAGTTGTCGACGGCTCAGTCGTCGGGCATAGTATCCGTCCCTACGGAATTTGGTCAGGCGGCCGTGGCAAATGCGGGAGCATCGACCATGCTGGTAGGGGGTGCAATGCGCCCTCCTCCCGAGGAGAAGGGGAACACTCTCCCCGTGGATCAATTCTGTGCCGTTTGTTTTCGTCTAAAGACGGACAATTGCGTCGGATGTGGTAGACCGGCGTGTTAAGAACATATCGATGCGAGTACTAGGAGATGCTCTAGATGCGACCTGTGGAAGAGCGACAGACCAGCTGCCAACATGCGAGAAGAAGAGATTGTTTCGAACGCAGCTAATGCAGAGAAAGAAAAGATAAGGTTTCAAGGCTATCATCACCGACCAGACTCCGTATACTGAAAATAAACGAGAAGCCGGACTCACATCGCATTCGTTCGGATTTACGTTGCTTTCGCAAGAAACTCCCGTGAGGCCGCTGTTGCGTCAACATGTTACTGTTCCAGGCCCTGCCCTAGAAGGTCCGGCGAAGCCGAGTGCCGCCGAGAATGGACTTCTTGTATGGGTGAAGCTAACTGGACCCAACGAAGATAACACTCTCGCCAGTCTCCGCCCATCCTATGGAGATGGTCCTACGGGAATGACGGCTGGCAAGGCGCGGACTTACGGTCTCACGTGCCCTCTTCCTACAAAACCCAATCACACACCTCCCTCCCGCATGCAGACACGACTATCCATGACTATAGCAAACGCAGCATGATGACGATGTAAAAAGCTGCGGCAAGCGCGTCGTACGCGTTTACGCAGCGCGCGTTCCTTGCGCATGCAGTGCGTTCAGCGCATCGTATTCTCGCGTTCGCGCGACCAAATATCAGCGAAATATTGCAGGCGCGCGTCGCCGCGCGCCCTGCCGTTGCTCGCGGCGCCTCGTCGCGCGCGCGCACGAATGCGACGCGTCGAGGCGCGCATTCGACTTCAAACCGCGCCTTGCGTGTATGCATTCGACGTGCTTTCTCGTTTGGCGTGTCATCGTCGGGCATGTCTTGCTGAAGTTCCAACAGTAACAGCAAAAGTGCCCGACGACGCTCCAAACGGTACAACGCGTCGAACACGTATGCGCCCAACGCGCGCCGTTGCGAACCGCGCGGCGTTGCGTCGTTTTCGTTCGTTCGCCCCAAGTAGCGAAGCTGGCAACCGCGCTTGGTTGCGCCGCTTAGTGAGCGCTACGTTTCGCGCGGTCGGCGCATCCAACTACACGGCCCCCGACGAGCCTCGGGTGCCCGCGGGGCGCGGCGGATTCATTACAGCTCACGCACTGAGAAGCCCATGCAGGGATGGCGGATGCGTTTGTCTCTGCGTCTTGGGGGGGGGGGGGGGGGGGGGGGGGGGGGGTGGGGTGTCTTTGGTTGTTTGGGGGTCTCTTCGGAGAGTCTTTGGGAGCTTGACTTTGGGCGAAGGCGTTTCCAGGAGAGCGTGGACCCAAGACAGCGAATCAAACGCGCAGAAGCAACATGCTCTGGTAGGCCAAATACTTGAACACAGAAACACCATACTTAACTCAGACACTTGCGGCATGACATGAAGTGCAAGCCACGACCAGTTGGATTCGAAGACACGTGGTGTCAGATATTCGGTGTGATTCCAAGCCCACATTATGTATTATGCTGCCGTTTTGGTTGTGCAGCTATGCCTCGTGCTTTCTGGCGCCGTGCAGATCCAATCCATGTCTGACATTGATGGTGCTCTTCGTGTCAACGAAGCTGATGACGCCAGGGCCGCCGACATTGACGGCCCGCGCCCCCCTCCGCGTCGTCGCATGGGGCCGCTCGTGCTTGGCCCACTGACATGTTTCCTGATCGCGGCCAGCCCTGGATGCCATTGGGCTAGATTGTTCCAGCGTGAGGAGAGGGCACATTTGGGGAGGCCGCTGCGCGACAACCACGTCGTTGGACTCATCGTCGGACATTGGCAATTCTTCCAGGAGATCCCTGAAAGTTCGCATTTCCTAGATGAGCTGAGGTTGCTCCAGGCTGCCGTGCGCCGTGGAAAGGGCATGAGGTTTGTTTTTTCTAACGCATGTTGCGAGGGCCAGGTTTACATTTCATGATGTGGCAGATTTCCGCGGACAATCTCCAGGAGAACTGATTCAGAGATTGTTGCCGTTGCAGGGCGAGTGCCCAGAAGGTGGAGTGACTACTTGTGGCGAGTGGGTTCGATTGATGTGTGACGCTCAGAATGGTGGCAAAGCGCTGCCCGTGGAGCTGGCGAGGCTAGGATATCATGTTGCTACGTCGGCAGTGGGTTCACACTGGTACTTGTGGCAGGCCACTGTGTTGGGATGGGGCTTCTCTCGGCGACCCGTCATCGGCAACGCGCCCACCCTCAGGCAAGTGAATCACGTCATGCAGGAGTTTGGGCCATTCGTTCTTGATCGTTTCGAGTCTGCATTCTTGGACCTGCCAGGGGCGGTAACCCACGACTCCGGGAGCAAGCCTGTTCGAAAAATTCTTGATTGGTTTGGCGCGACGCGAGACTTGAAGCAGATGCGGATGAAGGATGCAGCTTGTGAAAAATGGAATAAGATCATCAGTGGAGCACGCGAGGTTGAAAACGCGCCGATTGAGGAGACGGTGGACTACAACGCGTTGCGGCACGCCCGGATACGGGTCGACTGCGTGGCCATGTTGTTGTGGAGGGAGCGGTTCGCCAGGCTCGACGGCGACGGATTCGATATACATTTGCACAGCGATGGGTCACCACAGTGGGCCGGGGTGGAATTGTCCGCGTCCACGTTCGATATATTGACACCTTGCGCGCAGAGCCCGAGCAAGTATCATGTGGGCAGGCGCCTGCTTCCGTTGATCAATATCGGCATGTCAATGTTCAGTGCGCTTGGGAAGTGTTTCGCGCTCCTCTGGCAGGTCTTCCTCATAGCTGGGCCGCGCTTCGAAGATGTTCGCACATTTCTTAACAGAGTACGCTCGCTGACAGTTGACTTCGGCACTGAGCGGTTGCTGGCGGATTACGAGGACGTCCTGCCGTGGTTCCTCAGGTCCTTAAGCGGCGTGGTGCCGTCGAGGTTTTTACAAGTAAGTCATTTGCTGCCACGTTGCTTGTTGGCTCCAGGGTGGCGGCACACGGTGGATCGCATCATCAGGCGAACGTGTGGCGGCTTGCCTTTCTTCCCCCTCTTTCTCCGCAGAGTCAAAGCCATCAGCAATTTCGTGAGGCACTATAGGTTGGATTCGACACGGCTGCTCAAGGATGTGGAGGCGTTCGGCGCGGCCGATCTTGTGCAGACTGCGTCTTTGCCGTATTTTGCGGAGTGGAGGTGGGGAACTTCACATGGAGTCTTGAAGTCGCTCGAATCCTGCATCGTGGCCGTCATGGTGTCGATTGACCTCGGCGCGTTTATCAAGAGGCAGTCGGCAACCAAGATGGTCAAAGACGTCCAGGAGGCATTCGGATCGGTGCAGTTTCACATTGAATTGAAGTTCATGGTGTGGTTTACCAGTTGGTTGACTGAGTTGCAGAATGCAGCGACGTGGTGTCCTTGTCATTTGGGGGCTTGCAAGAGGAAGGAGTACCCTGACTGCAACGTGCGTGGCCGTATACTGCCAATCGTTCCGGATATCAGGTCACATTCCCTTGCTGAATCCATTGCTACGATGGAACAGTGGACGGTCACGCAGTGGAGAGATGCAAATACATTGAGGCTTTTGCAAGGCAGCGTGCGGTGGGCGCACGGCCTGATTCTCGAGGTCACACGGTTTGCATATGTGATCCCGTACCTTTTCAACCGGCTTGATCAGCCTCATGTGAAGGAGGAGTGCGTTCGTCAGTACACGTCGAAAAGCCACGACCAGCATCATGGAGTTTCGCAGTATTTCATGGATCCCGCTGGCCCCATGCGGCGACTAGTTGATGGTGAAATCAACGATGAGCATCTCAAGAGGGAGGTCGAGTCCGTCGCCAACATCAGTCTTGACGACAATGTGAATGAGAGCCCCCACGCACACGTCAAGCGCGAGATGGGCAGATGCCGTCCAGCACTCTTTCCTTGAAGCGCGTCTTCTTGCAGGTTGAACCAAAATCTAGAGGACCTGAAGTACTTAGGTTCTGGAGGGGGTTCGGAGTTGTAGAAGTTATGGAACGTTTACTCGTCGACCATCCAGGTGGAGAGTAGGAAGCTTGGGCGCAACCCACGGTGTGCGAAAAAATTGTTCACGGACAAGCTGTACATGGTGCTCAGCGGCTTCTGCGACGGCTTTGGCGAGGGCGATGCCGAGCAGGATGACGATGGGGATGGCGATTGCCCGACCTTCGACGATATCGACGGTGGTGGCGGAGCTCTCGTCGCGCGCCGACCTCCGAAGCGTCCTAAGCCAGATGTTGCTGCCACTGGCGACGGCGGAGATCGACGTCGGCTTCGCGAGCAGGTCGACATGGCGATGCTTGTGCGTGAGTGGCTGATCAGCTCAACCAAGCAGTTCGAGTATCTGAGCCTTTGGGCTACCAACGCCGATGGCAACATGCAGATCAGAGTGCTCCAGATCCTGAGTTGTAACGTCAACGTCGCGAGCGTCGCGACGTTCGAGAGCACCAAGCCCAATGAGTTCGGCTTGAAGGTCTGCGTCCAAGAGCTGGAGGTGTGGAAAGTGGACACCATGCGCTACGACACGAATCTGATTGACGTGTTCACGGCCCCCCCTCCAGAGCATGTCGACATGCTCGGCCTTGTTGGCGCAGGCGAGAGGAACAGGCGCCAGATGAAGTACTGGACTTGGGCCGAGTCTGACTTGGACGGCTGTCTGGCGCTCACTTCTCCACGACCGCGCTGCCCGACGGTGGAGCTCAAGGACGCGCCTGTCCTGACTTTGCTGGGGGGCCGACGCCACAGGGGATGGAGGGGTGAGGGATGCGCGTCAGCGTGGCAACGGTGGGTGATGGAGGAGACAGGCTAGCGGAGGAAGGAAGGGTAGGGGGGTGGGCAGGAGGAGAGGACGGGCGAGCGAGGAGGAGCAGGAGGAGGGAGTTTTGGTTGCTATGATCTTTGTTTTCGCCAGGAGTCGGAAGCCAAGGGTTTCGTCGGCTGCGGCCGCGTCGTGACTCACGTCCCAGGCGGCCCCGCAGAGTTCGATCATCGCAGACTCCCGTCTAAGCGTTTTTAGCTGTTATGCGTCTCGGCACAGCCGCACCTCTTTAGCAACGGGTGCGTTCAATTCAAGTCGAATGGACCTCAGGCGTACTTCAAGGCATTACCGAAGGATCCAACGACGGTGCCAGGGCTGCCAGCAATCAAATACACTGAAAATGACGGTGGATCTCACGACGGCCCAGCTCCAGCACAACTACTGGGGCTTCCGACCAGGTCGGCCACGAGTGAGGCGGTGGCGAGAGTTGATGCAGACATCGACGGCGACGATGGCTCCCTCCATCGCGTGCCAGCTCCGCTACAGCTTGCAGATGACGGCGGCTCCAGCGCACACTCGCGCACATCTCCGTCGCGCGCTTCTGTCGATGAAGGCTCCGTGGACGGAGACAACGCTGTCGGGCCAGACTCGTGCCCGCCCTTCATCGACGGCATGGCCGCCACTCGGGAATCCCACCTTGGCCGGGGGGGCTTCGGGCTGAGAGTGAAATTCTCGGGCCCATCTCACGTGAATTGCAGTTGCTACCGATCAGTTAAGCTGTGGACGGAGAAGTTTGGGGTTGATGCACCAGCGTTGTTTCTGAACACGTGGATGGCCAAGAGTTTGGTCATGGATGGTTTGGCTCGCAGGAGGTGGGGGCCAGGCCGCCAGGAAGTCGTATTGTATGTCTTTGCTGACTCGTGAGGTGGATGTGCAAGCGTTCGTTGCATGACGGATGTGCCGTGGAGCGTTTGGCTCCATGGGCCCGCCGTGCAACGCAGATGCGAACACATGCTAACGCTACCGTCACAGCCACCTCCGACCCCGAAGAGACGCCCCCAGCGCGCCTGCACGACCGCACTGCGATAACCACGCCACACGCAGCACATACACTAGCAACCTCAAGCGTGCAATACATGTACAAGCACTGCGCAAGCACACGCGTGATAACACCACACTCGCACGCGCGCGGTATATCTCACTGGCCCTAGTTGCGTAAACCTGCCCCGTATGGGGCGGGGCCCTGAGGGAGGGCGAAGCCTAAATTCATAAGTTTTTTTTGGGGGGCTCGGAGTCCGATTGGCTGGTGGACCCTGCTAGCTGGTGCCAACGTAACGGGGTCCGTTTCGGCAAAACCCCAATGTGGGCACCCCCCTTGGCTATGGCCTCGATTGGGCGGGGCCTTTTGGCGTCAGACCGTTTCGAGCGAGGCGCTGTGGGATTGGGCCTCGCTCCGCGATCCTCGGGGGATGGGCGCCACCAGCGCAAAGCTGGTGGTGCAACTTGTTGGGGTGGGCTCTTCAGTGCGAAAAGCTTCGGGCACATCACCTTGTGGTCTCAGCGTGCCTCGGCTTGCCGATGATTGCGGGATCCAGTGATCGGGCAGGGGGGCGAGAGGGAGCGAGCGGGCTGGCGGGCAATGGTTTCGCGGCTCTGCTCCGCATTGGCTCGATGGTTGCAAGGCGCAGCCGCCGCGAACCGATCCCGAATTGCACGCAGCAGGTCGCCGATGCTGAACACAGCCCAACGAGAAACCGCCACTAAGGTTCGTTGGGGCAACGTGCGCGCAAACGTTACACCACCGCGCGGTTCGTGGCATCTAACGTGCCACGCGACGTTGCCCGCGTTTGGGTTTGCGCGTGCTCAAGGATCCAGTTGCCGTGGCCCGCTCCACACATAATCTGGACCCGCGGGTTGGATGCGGCGCGCCAACAAACAAGTTTACGCTTGACGCGCACGGGGGCAACAACAACTCCAACCGACGGCCACGTTGAAGTACGAATAACACCTCTCAGGCAACGCACGCAAGACTCCGAACCACCCACGCCAAACTGATGGGGTACCCAGCATGCGCACAGCGCGGCTGGCGGAACCGAAGCGATGCCCCAGGGTTGCACAGCCGAAATGTATTCGTCATTTACGCTGGTTAACTTTGGCCACAAACCACAAAACCCGAAATGCCCGTAGGCTACGACAGCAACAGGTGTGGATTATGGACGACAAGCGGCGGCGCCATCAAGAGTTTGTCCTGGCTTGCACTTGAACTGCGATCGCGGCAACATGAACCACTCTGGGGCAGTCCTGATATGCCCTTACGCTGCGCGCATGCCAACGGTGGGCAACGAGCGACCAACATTTGAACCACCCTGAACTAGTTCTGAACAGCGATTGAACTGCGAGCGCGACGACGTGGGTCAACCTGCATTAACAGTGAACTGCTCTTGAACTACGCAGATGCCAGCGGTAGGCTACGGGTGACCACAAGCTGAACCACGCTGGCCTAATCCTAAGTTGTTATTGGGCTACGGGCGCGGCGACCTTCGCGACCTTGGGCTAGTCCTGAACTGCTCTTGAACTACACCACCCACAGCGGTGGTCTACGGACAAGCAGCAGAGGCACGCTGAACTTCTCCTGAACTGCAACTGAACTGCAAGTGCGACGACCTGAACCGCGCTGAACTAGTCCTGAACTACCCTCGAACTACAGCGATGCCTTTGATGGGCGATGGGCTGTCACAAGCTGGACCACGCTGAACTACTCCTGCACTATTCTTGAACCACCAGAACAAGGACCTGAACTACCCTGAACTAGTCCTGAACTACCCGTGAACTACACGGTCGACAGCGACGGACCGAAGGCGCTAAGGGGCTGAGCCACGCTGAACTACTCCTGAACTACTCTTGAACTACGCTCGCGACGACCTGCACCAACCTGAACTACTCTTGAACTGTTCTTGAACTACATGGATGCGAACGGCGGGCGGCGGGCGACCGCAAGCTGAACCACCCTGAACCAGTCCTGAACTACACTTGATCTACATGCGCGACGAACTGAAACAACCTGAACTACTCTTGAACTAGTCTTGAACTGCCACACCCGCAGCGGTGGTCTATGGACAAGCAGCAGCGGAACCACGCTGAACTACTCTTGAACTACCCTTGAACTACAAGCGCGACGATCTGAGCCACCCTGAACTAGACCTGAACAGCCCTTGAGAACTACAGCGATGCTTGCGATGGGCGATGAGCGACCACAAGCTGAACCACGCTGAACTAGTCTTGCACTACACTTGCACTACAAGCGCGAAGTCCTGAACTACCCTGAACTAGTCCTGAACTACCTTTGAACTACACGGCCGACAGCGGCGGACCGAAGGCGCCCAGGGGCTGAACCACGCTGAGCTACTCCTGAACTACTCCTGAACTACGCGCGCGGCGACCTGAATCACGCTGAACCACTCTTGAATTATTATTGAACTACATTGGTGCGAGCGGTGGGTGACGGGCGACCGCAAACTGAACCACCCTGAACCACTCCTGAACTACTCTTGAACTACGTGCGTGGCGACCTGAACCAACCTGAACTACTCTTCAATTAGTCTTGAACTACACGACCGACTGCGACGGACCGAAGGCATTCAGGGGTTGAACCACGCTGAACTACCCCTGAACTACACTTGAACTACGAGCGCGACGGCCTGAACCACGCTGAACTACTACTGAACTGCTCTTGAACTACAGCGCGGACAGGAGTGCACCATGGATCAGCACAAGCTGAACCACTTTGAACTAGTCCTGAATTGCACTTGAACTACGCGCGCGGCAGCCTGAACCACACTGAACTACTCTTGCACTACGCTTGAACTACAGCGTGCACAGGCGTGTGCCATGGACTAGCACAAGCTGAACCACTTTGAACTAGTCCTGAACTACACTTAAACTACGCGCGCGACAACTTGAACCACCCTGAACTACTACTGAACTGCTCTAGATTCACAGCGCCCACGACGGTGGGCGCGTGGCTGCCAGTGGTCGAACCACCCTGAACCACTGCAGAACTTTTCGCCAACTACGATTGCGACGACGTTGGCTACCCCGAACTAGGCCTGCACTTCTTCTGAACTGCGCGGATGCGGGCGGCGGGCTGCGGACGACCACAAGCTGAACTGCGCTGAACTACCCCTGAACTATTCTTGAACTACGAGCACGACGACCTGAACCACCCTGAACTAGTCTTGAAATATTCTTGAACTACATTGATGCCAGTGGTTGGCGATGGACAAGCAGCAGCTGAACCACGCTGAACTACTCCTGAACTACTCTTGAACTACGAGCACGGCGACCTGAACCACCCTGAACTAGTCCTGAACTTACTCTCGAACTACAGCGATGCCTGATGAGCGATTGGCGGCCACAGACTGAACCACGCTGAACTACTCCTGCACTACCCTTGAACTACAAGCGCGGCGGCCTGAACCACCCCGAACTAGCCCTGGACAGCCCGCGACCTACAATATTTACATTGTGCGCGCGGGCTGCCATAGGCTGAACCAACATGGACTAGTGCCGAACTACTGGCGACTTACGCGCGAGGCGACCTGGACCACCTCGAACTTCAATTGAACTGCCCTGGGTCTACGCTAAGAACGGCGGTGGCGCACGGGCGTCCGCAGTCTGATCCACCCCGAGCTTGCCCTGAACTACGTTTGAACTGCGCGCGCGACGGCCTGAACCACCTTGGACAGCCCTGAAATGCATTTGAATTGTTATTCCGACAGCGGGGGGCGGCTTGCGATCAAGTCCACCACGTCGAATCACACTTGGGGTGCACGTGAGCACCACCTCCATGTTCCCACGAGCGGGGCTGGACGAGTGGGCTGCGGCTGCGTCGCGAAGCACGAGGGTGCTTCGCGACGCTCTCCTCGCACCAATGGTGGCGCTTGCCGCGCCGCTGCTGGCAGTGACGGTGGAAGCGCGTTGCTTGGGCGCTTGCCCCGCGCGTTCAAGTTGAGGCGGTGGGGCGCCGTCGGCGCGCCCTGGGGCGCCAAGCGCCGCCGCGCTCGCCAACCGCCTCCCGATGCCAGCGGCGTGGTGTCCAACTCGAGGGTGTCACCGTTTGGGGCTCCTGTTCGGACGCGCTGCGGGACGTCGGCGGCCGTCGAAAGCGCCGGCTCGCGGGGCGGCTGTGTGCGCGACAATTCTGTATGCGGCTGAGTGGTGCGGAGGCTCGATGTTTATGAAACCATATGATTTCATAGGTTTCCGCGCGTATCGGTTTGTATGCGGTGGGCGGCTGCGCGGCCGCAGTGCGCGCGCCGCCCGCCGTCGCGGGCGGCGACGCAGTGCGGCGCGCCAGTGGTGTCTCCATGTGCGCGGGGCGGGTGGCGAGGGGGGCGCTGCTCGGCGGTCTACGCGGCGCGCTTGGAACTCGCGCGCGCAGCGCTCCGCAAGCGCGGCGGGGGCGGCTGTATTGGGGGGGGGGGGGGGGTGCGCGCGGCAGCCTGACGTCCATAGCCAGCCTTTCGTTGGCCATCTTGCACTGCGACCCCATCGCGTTCGCAAGGGTTTTCGCTATCGCGGGCATCGCGTGGGCGCGCCTTGGGTGGAATCCGCGAGTTGTGGGGCGCGCGCCAACCGCGTCGAAAGACGTTGCGACGCAAATTGTCTAGGCCTGAACCGCGCGGGCGGTTTCCGCGCGCAGCCTGAGGGGCGCGGTGTATACATGCGCTGTCAGACGACGCCAGTAGTGCATCGAGGGCGATCAGGGGCCACAGCCCCTGAACCCCGTGGGGCTATGCGGGGCGGGCGGTCGCGACCACCTGGCAGACTTTGAACTACCCCTGATC